TCGGCGAAACAGCTTCCTTGCGTCTTTTACTACTCAGAGTCATAATCAACCAACAACCTACAGATAACGCAGTATTATGTAAGTTTAAACAGGCAGTCCGAGTAGAAGACGATAACAGACAGGCCATTGGTGTAGACTACGAGCCATGTCACGTAACATCTCAAGCCAAGTAAAAGGCAGGTCACATGGACTTCCGTCTGGAAGGCAAGACGAACCGACGGCACTCAATTTGGTCGGCAATGACTATTTCCCGCTGCGAAATTAATTGTTGCTCACCTCGAGCCTCGCGCCACTCTACATCTAGCAGACAAAACAAGGACGTCCTCGGTAGGCAATGTGCCCAATCCAACGCGTCATTCAATGTTATCCGTGATTTACAGGAACAAGCTTGTTTATCACAGCCCAGCACTCGCCTAAGCATATCATCATCGTGAACACGCTGATGCCAACCGACCAAATACATGCTCCGCGGACAGCGATGAGCTAAAACTTGACGGCGACTAAGATCTTCGTATTGAAGGGACCAAGTCTCGGTCGCACATAGCAGGACGGCCCTCACTGTGGCCTTTAAATCACAGCTTTTCAGACGGAAGGAAACTCCCTTCTGTCACCAAAGATGTTGCAGCTTCAAGAAAACAATTATGGTTTTTGCACTGCGCGAAATGACTTAAACCATTGTGCCCCCATCGTTGCCGATGCAGCTGCGAAGGTGAGTGAAGTGGTCAACTATCTCGAGTTCCTCGTTATCAGGTTCAAGTGGTCATCAAATGACTGGTGGTCCCTCAGAAACGGTTTGCAGTTTGCAGGTGGGAAGCCCACGTCAAATAACGAGGCCACTCTAGAGAGGTTATCCATGGTTGAGTGATCCGCTCCAAAATATTTGAAAAGTAATACAATATCGTCCGCATAATCTCGATCAACTAGCTGTTCACCAATCGCACTGCAAATAAATTTTAGTACAATCAGAGGTAATTATGTTGTCTAGTAATAGCAGTTTTACCGAAGTTACCTAATGCACCTTATCATGGAGGATTGGGAAACCCGATTATTAGTACTCTGTGGTTGCGCAAACATCATATCTGTGAAGGCGCTTGTCTTCTATCTTTGGAATTCAGTCTGCGGAAAGTGGAATAACAACGCTAAATATGCTCACGTCATCATCACAATGGCCTTCAACGTACCCACTCTGAAACTCTGCCACCGAAGAAAAATATTATATGCCAACCACCAATCTTTTTTTCTAATGCTCCGCTTTACATCCATATTATTTCACACACTAAGAATACAGAGGACAACAGTGCACCTCTAGTAACTGCTGTGTTTGCCAACAAGGGGCATATGATTAAAGGACTTACTATCAATTATTAGCGGCCGCGCTTTTTAGTCAGTTATAGATTTAAGCTTCTATTCTATACACATTATTCTAGATTGAAATGTGGAACTCTTTGTCCTATTAAGACACTCGATCTCTTGGTTAAGATGGTCAACGTGATAACCTGGTTCTTCGTTGCTAAAGCTCAATCTGAGGTCCCTTGGAGGAATTCATCGCTTGGATCAATAGATTTGCCGAAAATGCATTACAGCCTACGTTTTAAATTTGCGCTAAATAAATTAAGTTGTAAGGACTAGAAAGAGGACCTGAACTGCAGTGCGCAACGCAGTGTTGCGTGCGAATTTTTCCTCGAGCCCTGTCTAACGTTACCATAGACACTGCATTAAACTTTCCTGAGAATACAAAACAAACATAGCAGAGGAACCTAGTACTAACCATTTCCAGTACTAAAAATATAAAACGACTTAACTAAGTTGACTGAATTCAAAACTTCTTGCAGGTTTTGTTCCCCGATTCCAACAGTATATCGTCCAACAACAGCAAGTAACGCAGCAACGACATGTTTCCACAATTCAACTGGATGACCTTATGTAGTATCTTCCTGCTTAGTTCATCTTGCTGAGCGTGTTCATTTTTCATCTATTTTACAGCAGAAACTCTACGGCAGGACCTGACATCCCTGCTCAATCATAGCACTCTTAAAATTTATTATATCATTTCAATAATTTATTTGGACATGTGGCGACTGTCTCACGTTCTGGCTGCGATTAAGCAGTTGGAGAGCTAATAAAAATACTTGTAACTATTTTATAATCATTCGTCTATTTCCCTGCAAGCTGCCAACTCCACTGATGACTTCAAGAAAGAGAATCATGATCCTGGCAGTCATAGCATGTATGACTGTGGAGGATGAACCAACTTATATTACTGAAGGAAAGCTGTTGTGGTGGTTACTCCCCATCATGCATGGCCCAGTAGTATAATTCACTACCTTGGAAAGTTAGGCCATGGGTTCGAGCCCCGCAGAATTTCACGGATACGTGCAACTGATGAGCCACAATAGGACGAAACGGGCTGCTGGCGCTTTCCTGGATGTGCGAGGGTTGTCTGAGTGAATCTGTCTGTGAATATTCATTTCTAAACTCCTACAAATTCCCTTACCACTTTCTAATAACCAACAATCGCTTTAGCGGCTTACTTTCAGCTTCGATTGGTGACAGCTTACAAAGGTAGTCGTAGCTCTGAGACCAAGCCCTGTCCTCTGCACATTCACCACATGTATGGCAGTTGAGGATGAGCAGCTTTATACCTAAGTTACGTATCCGGCATCGCAGGCTGCCGCCGACAGCCATGGCTCAGTGGCATATGTCGTCGACTCTAAGAGTAAGACAATCGGTTCAGTTCGGACAGGATCCGGTGGATGCGCGCTGCTGAGGAAACGGTCGTTCAGCGCTTTCCCGGAGGTACAATGGCTGTCTGACTGAGTTCAACTGTGAGAAAACTTTTGAAATGACCAATTCCAAGCGGACTGTGATGTGCCGCATGGCAACTGATAAATTTGTGTTCGTCTTTGCTACCCGTTAATGTCTCGCATGAACTATCGGCTCAGGTTTTTGTTCCCTGATGATCAGAACAAAATATGACGGAGAATTTTGATGAATGCTGATCGACAAAAGCTCTTTGAGAGCGATATTGGCCATCAGTGGACAACACCAAACTAACTACCGTGTAACTTGGGCAAATATGAATTACTTTCATACGAAACCTTAGCACATTTTTACACTCTATGTGAACATGTGTGATCATTCAAGATGACTTGTGTTGTGCCACGCAGCCAGAAAATTTATGGAAATCTAGGAATTGGCACCACAAAACATATGATGATCATTCGCGTAACAGGACTTATTAGTTCACTTTAAATGATGAATAATTTCCGTTTCAGTCTTACACATAATTGTAGTTACCAAACTCAGTTCCTTTGGTCATTATGACACCTCACCTCTCTGGTTGCTAATTTCATTAATTATACATTGACTAGACAAATGTTATATTTGGCTTGATGATGAAGCGCTCACATCACGACTTGGACAGCTGTTTCCATACGAGTGCCCAAAGCTTAGAATTATAATTCAGCTGAATACCCATCACAGGCTTTTAGCTAAGGAAAACTCATGATATTGCTGGTCTTGGCCTTCTTCAGCAACGAACCACCAAATACTTAGTATAAATGCGCCTCTCCTCCTCATACGAGGAGAGACTGATACCTAGAGTATTCAAAGTGCAGTATTACTGAATGCGAGATGAATTAGAGGTGGCCAACCTGATCCTATCAGAACCAGCTATACCGCATTTTGCAGAAAAATCGCTGAGAATTCACTCATTGTAATGGATAGAGCTACAAAACCACTTGTTTTGTATTAGGGATTTCTTTTGTTATCATGTATGTTAGCCTTGAGACACACTTCGAATCAGTTGTCTTACTAAAATGAGGCTAGTTGACACACGCGACCATCTGTATTCCAATGTTTCGCGTTTAGCATTTCAGAGCTGAAGCTTTCCTTTTGCTAACCGTTAATTAATGAGGCTACATAGCGAGATTAGAAACGAGGTCAGAGCAGCGTGAGTGGAATCAGCCAGCTTCCAACTAAATGATTGTTTCCTCATTTTGCTTCTTTGAAAATGTTCATCAGAACAGCTAGAATAACTTGTGAAGGCATGGGAACTTGCTGTAGTAAAAAGATTGATAGTTTATGTTCATTTCAAATACTAGTTGTTAAAACAACAACTTTACTCTCGTTCTGTTTGTTAGTTTGTCACTTATGTACTCTACCTTATTCGCAATTTTTACCATTAATGTTTGTATGTGAGGAATTATCCATATAGGTTATATTACTTATAATAATAATGTTAGTCAGCGATATTGGTCCCGCAACTGGCAATAAGAGGAGAAGCCCCTTGATATTGCCGTGATTAATCAGGTTCATAACCCCCTACATAAATAAATAAATAGTATATTCCGCGGCCAAGCGTGGTACATCTTAACTACGTGGTCTGATCAGTGAACATAATAACCACTTACAACTAAATCACAGTTTATTGCATTTACTACAGTTTTATTCGAGTAATCCTCGATTCATCCATGTTTCCTTTCATTTTTGAGCATTGAAGTTCTAACATTTTCCCGGTATTTTTCAGCCTGCAGCGATTGTGATTACACTATATTGTACCTTAATTTTTATCACTTACCGAACAGTTTGTACTACTTGTTTATCTTTACAAATTTTGTATACAACTACTTCAACGCTCTCTCGTCGTGATGGTTTCTTTTGCTGCTGTCTACGTTTGTGTTGCCGCCACCCCTTTCCAGTAGTCGGATTTCTATCTTAGAATAGCCAGCCGGCATCGGACTAGTGGGAACTGAAGGAAGAACGATAAAGCAAGTGTGCTTCACTGTTCCTCTATTGTAAGTTTTTGCCTAAGGTTGTATTTGCCTCCGGACTCGAAGTTATTAGGTAACGGTCGTCTACAAGCTCTAATTCAGATCACTGCTTTTCAAATCGGTTATTGGCTGTCGATAAATAGCAGTTTTGCAGCCGCCAAATAAAGAAAACTTTCGCACTTTACGATGCTGTAGAAAACTGATGTACAGCAAACTTCATGAACTCACTTGCCCGCCTTTTCCGAGGTGCCCACGTTCTCCCAGAATGGTGGACAAAGCAACCGAGCGCATTTCATCCCAGCCCTTGGCTCGCATGCGCTGCAAGTGCAGTAGGACCACATCGTCATTCAGTCCATGCGGCTGAAATGTAATACCACGGCATTTACCAATTTAATATACCCATTACTGAGAATTTGAATAAAACTAAAAGCTTGCACATGATCGAGCACATAATTACTCACTTGCGAGTGAGCAGATGATAATCACTGCACAGAGAAAACGGCGATACTGAAACGATTATTCCATTCGCATGGGGGTTTGTACTCAACTGGATGATGGAAGTGATTCGCACACTTATTACTTTAACGATGCCGGCAGTATTTGAATTAAAACGACACTTTGTTTTCAGTCTGACATAACGTGAAATAGGATGGTATCTGTAACTTTTTCATTTTACTTTTTATTTCTTGCCAACAACTAAGGGCGGCGTTGGTTCAGGGCATTCCATTTCAGCATTTTGCCAGATCGACGCTTTATTATAATGTACCTTTTATTTAAATTCTGAAAAGGCTATGAAGTTTTGCTTCACCCCAGAATCACATCAGATACTACCTTCATTTTGAACACCGTTCAGTTGGCTATTTCATTGCCGTACGCGAGACCCAGCATATGTGGCTGGAAAGCAGAAGCAATCTACTTCGTTTGTTGATCCATACTGGTGTCGTTTATCGTTAGCCACATTTGAAATGATACTATGATTGGATAACGGAACCGGATCACCTGTGGTTTATGTAACGACCCCAATCCACGTTCAACGGTTTCCTTTTGATGAACAAATCGGTTAATTTAGCTACGCTAGATTGTCAAAACTCACTTAAGTTCTTCACTTTGGATAACTTGTAATTCTAGTAAATAAATTATAATTTCTTTTACGATTCACTGAATCCTAATTTTATGATTCATGTACAGCCCATAACAATGCACAAAGCTTTTATCACTACCTAAATAGTGTGACTGTTTGGATAGAACATGTGGGCACGTCTCAGACCTCGAACTCCGATCAAGCACGTTCAATCACCAGACAGTTTAGAGATGGAAAGTAGCGCATATCTATTCCCCCGTGCTAAACAAGAAGAGGCAATCAATTTTAATGCTAACCACACAGTAGCGATGGCACGTAGCCCATTAATAAAATTGACCCCAGTGTTCCCTTTGAAATGCCTAACAGTTTCTAAGCACTTGTACCTGAGCTAAACGAAATGTTGGCACATTTGGTTCTGGGGAGTACACTGATTACTCCTTAACTAAAACATCAGATTTTCATGGCTATTAAATATGCAATGCAGTAATAGCTCGTGGCTAACCTAGGTCCGTTTCATTGCAGATTTAACTTCAGATTGCTATGGTTTACACTTGGCAGTTCAAAGCATTATTAGTGCATAGCGCACAGTGTTAAGTGCAGCCGCTCCACAGGCGTTCTTGTAACTGGTAAAAAGGTTAAAGCTCAATGATAGACGCCAATATTAACATCGTTGCTCCGTCTTATCGGTGCTTCTGACGGCCACTATGTATCCAGCACACTTCCAGGCCTCTTTCACAGTCTTCATTAGCTCGGAATCATAACCCGTTGCTGTGATATTACCATTCAGATACTTACATCGTTAAATTTTGTTGCAGATCCAAGGGTCTCTTACGAACCGATGTGAGAGTTGTACAAGGTGGTGCTTCAAATGCCGGAGAGAAAGAAAGGTAGAGTAAGTATTCAGATGCTCATTTGTTCGCCGAGCTGGGAAATTTGTTTGCAAACCTTTCACCGCCATGCGAGGCGGCATCATCAATGAGTCGAGATGTGGAGTGTAATCTCGCTGATTGAATTGTAGATCCGTGATCGGTGTGCAAGTGACTTTTCGAAAAAGATGACTTCGATCTGTGTCCCGCGATCTCTACCCCTTTCCACGTGGCAGAACGCGCCGCTCGGGTTGTTCCTATCCAAGCGGCGTCTCATAATTTCTCAAAGTTCTCTCCATCGGAGGGGTTGGTAAACTGGGTCAATCTCAATATGCACGTTGATCGAGTCTTTTGTTAGGAACCACACTTCCAGAAACTCCCTTCCTCTTATTGTTTCGCCTTGTGCCAGGACTTCTGTTTTGGCCCAATCAAAGCTGTGTTCTTTTTCATCCACGTGTGCTGAGACTAACGACGATGCATAGTGCCATTTGCATGCTCTTTTGTGCTCTTGTAATCGTGTTGATTAATTTGCTACCTGTTTGGCCAACATAGTCCTTTTCACGATTTCTACAACTTAGTCTATATACAACATTACTTCGCTCATGAGCTTCCAGTTTCTCTTTCGGTTTCGACAGTTTTTCTCAATGTGGCAGTTGGTTTGTGCGCTACGATGAGGTGGTTTTGTTTGAATAGTCTTGCTGCCATTTCGGATATATTCTTCATATATGGTAAAACAACGCGTCTCTCCGTCGTTGGTGTAGACTGTCTGTTTGGTTCGTTGTGGTTCAGACACCTTCGGATGAAGCTTCGCGGGTATCCGTTGAGTTGGAAACATTTAAATAGATGCTTTTCTTCTTGTTACTTTGCCTCCGTGGTATTGCAATCCGTTTGCACTCTACCAAATAATGTCCGCACACAGCATACTTTGTGGCATTTCGGGTGGTTACTGTTAAAGTTCAGAATTTGGTGCGTATGTGTCCATTTTCCGTAGACTGATTTTTGTAGCCTTCTTTCCATAGTTCTGGTTACTAATACATCCAGGAAAGGCAGTTGGTTTTCTTTCTCCATTTCCATTGTAAACCCGATGTCTTCAACGGCGTTGTTCAATAGCTGCGTTTGATGATCCCAAAAGTGTCGTCAACATATCGGACCCAAAGTTTCGGATTAGTGAGTGGGAGTACGTCTCCCTCCAATTTCTGCATTACCATCTCTGCAATGAGTCCCGATGCAGTTGATCCCATTGTCGCGCCTTCAATTGTTCGTAGATCTTCCTGTTGAAAGAGAAGTAGGTTGACAGACACAACTGGAGTAACTTGCATGCATTTTCGGTCGTTAGGTTCCCGATTGGTTGTTCACTGCTGTTCAAGCGTTCTGTGATGACTGTTGTTGTCATTTCTAAGTTGACAGACGTAAAGAAGGCAATCACATCGAAAGATATCATTTTTTCATCACCATTGATTCGCAAGTCTTGGAGCTTTTGTAGAAATTGCTGGGCATTATTAACTGAATATCGCGATCAACAAGTCCGATGGAATGAAAATGGAGAAGGAAAACCAACTGCCTTTCCTGGATGTATTAGTAACCAGAACTATGGAAAGGAGGCTGCAAAAATCAGTCTACGGAAAATGGACACATACGCACCAAATTCTGAACTTTAACAGTAACCACCCGAAATGCCACAAAGTATGCTGTGTGCGGACATTATTTGGTAGAGTGCAAACGGATTGCAATACCGCGGAGGCAAAGTAACAAGAAGAAAAGCATCTATTTAAATGTTTCCAACTCAACGGATACCCGCGAAGCTTCATCCGAAGGTGTCTGAACCACAACGAACCAAACAGACAGTCTACACCAACGACGGAGAGACGCGTTGTTTTACCATATATGAAGAATATATCCGAAATGGCAGCAAGACTATTCAAACAAAACCACCTCATCGTAGCGCACAAACCAACTGCCACATTGAGAAAAACTGTCGAAACCGAAAGAGAAACTGGAAGCTCATGAGCGAAGTAATGTTGTATATAGACTAAGTTGTAGAAATCGTGAAAAGGACTATGTTGGCCAAACAGGTAGCAAATTAATCAACACGATTACAAGAGCACAAAGAAGTATGCAAATGGCACTATGCATCGTCGTTAGTCTCAGCACACGTGGATGAAAAAGAACACAGCTTTGATTGGGCCAAAACAGAAGTCCTGGCACAAGGCGAAACAATAAGAGGAAGGGAGTTCCTGGAAGTGTGGTTCTTAACAAAAGACCCGATCAACATGCATATCGAGATTGACCCAGTTTACCAACCCCTCCGACAGAGAGAAATTAGAGATATTATGAGACGCCGCTTGGATAGGAACAACCCGAGCGGCGCGTTCTGCCACGGGGAAAGGGGTAGAGATCGCGGGACACAGATCGAAGTCGTCTTTTTCGAAAAGTCACCTGCACACCGATCACGGATCTACAATTCAATCAGCGAGATTACACTCCACATCTCGACGCATTGATGATGCCGCCTCGCATGGCGGTGAAAGGTTTGCAAACAAATTTCCCAGCTCGGCGAACAAATGAGCAACTGAATTATCAACCCGAGCTACCAGTTTTTCCAAAAATTTAAATATTCTTTCTCCACTATGAACAGGCGATTCCGATTTCGGTTGTAAGCGACTAGCTTGAAGCTACTCCCAAATCGCCCAACAAATTTTTGAAATCTATGCATTTTGTTCCATTATTAACCTTTTTAGCAACCAACAGTTCTCGCTTTACCCCTAGTTTTACTCAGATGCTATGCTTCGTGTAAAATCTGTTCGAGCACACTCCCACAGTTTTCGGATTATGAGGTATCCGACTAATCCAAGAACAATGGAATAAAGATATGTTATGGGCAGAAAAGCGAATGTCTTAGCCAGCTGACGTGAACTCGTAACTGAGAAGACAGAAGGACCAACTAAACGCCGCCCAATTTTACAAAAACCTTCAGGATGAAGCTTGCCCATTATTTGGAGTGCTTTTATTGACTCAAACAAGGTAACCGTGCATTCTACACTTTCATATTTATTAATCATTAATACGGTAGCAATTGCATAAACTATACCAGTGGAACAATGGTATATTATGGAAAAAGCGGAGGCCTAGCAATTCCCGTAGGATGGCCAAAAAGAGAACCACAACATGATGAATAGTAAAACAGACGGATAAAATGAAAATCCTTTTGGTGGACTGACCACAGTATTAACACAGAGGCGGGAAGAAAGAGTCAAACACAGTTGTTTAGATTTATTCTGGTTGTGCAACTTTTGCCGCATTATATCTTCTGTCGAGACACACAGGCTTGATCTCCTAGTGTAAGTGGGTTAGGGCAACATCAAGGCGTTTTTAAACACAGCTAAATTTGGGGAAGAAACAACGTAATTTGGAAG